GTAGCGGCGGAGGTTAGGGTGGGGGCGACGATGGTGGGGGCAGCGCTGGTGGTGGCGGCACAGGTACAGGTACAGGTGGCGGCGATGAGGATGGTGGAACCGATGGTGGCGGTGACGAGGGTGGTGGCGGCAAAGGGGGCGGCGATGCAGGCTGCGGTGGCATAGGCGGCAGCAGCGGAGGCGGTGGCGGTGGCGGTGTGGACGGCTGAGGCAGTGTTGGGGGTGGTAACGCTTGCAGAGAGCCTGCTGTTGTGCCAGTCTGCGTGCCTGAGCTGAGGTGCGCGCCGGTACTTGGGACGAGAAGGACCATCGGGGGTGCGGGTGGCGGCACCGACGGAGGTGGCGGCACTGGTGGAGGTGGCATGGGAGGTGGCGTCGACGGAGGTGGTGGGAATGGCGAAGGCGGCGAGAATGGTGGCGGCGAGGGCGGCAGCACTGTGTGTGACGAGGGCGCTGGCGCCGACGATGGCGGGGGCGTTGGCGGGGGCGGGGTGGGCGGCGGCATCAGCGGAGGTGGCGTCGTCGGTGAGGCCGGTGGGAGCAGCTGAGGTGAGGGCGGCGTCGGTGGTGGAGGCGAGGGCGGTGGCGGTGGCGGCGGCGGAGGCGAGGGTGGAGGCGGTGGAGGTGGCGAGGGCGGCGGCGGAGGCGAGGGTGGCGGCGGCGGCGGCGGAGGCGAGGGTGGCGGCGGTGGCGGCGGAGGCGAGGGTGGTGGCGGCGGTGGAGGAGGCGAGGGTGGCGGCGGCGGTGGCGTGGGCAGCGGAGCCATCGGTGGAGGTGAAGGCACGGTAGGCGGCATGCAGCACTTGTCCCCCTCATATCCGAGGCCCATCGCATAACAGCTCGCCTGGCAGAACTTCTTCTCCTGCCAATAGGCGTCCTTGTTGCACCGGTGCTTTGCCATGTACTTCCACGTGCGACATTCGAGACTATGCTCGACCATCCAGTAGGATGGGGAATCCTGGCACCACGTGCAATCCCCTCCTGGCGTTGTCGTCACGGACGTGTCGCGGCAAACCTGGACATCGACAATGTCGGCGCGCGTCATCACTCCGGTGGTTGGACGTGCCTCCAACCGGGGAGCACCCGGGCAACAACACAGCTTCGGGACGGCCCGGTTGAAATTGTACGGGCCATCAAGGTCATAGTTGAGCGGCACACAGGCGCTGGTCCACAGCCCCTCCTTTTCGGAGACAGGGTCGGTGCATGGCGGCGAGGCGGGCGATGCTTGCGCCGGTGGCGCCGCCGCCGCCTGAACCGCAGAGCACCACGACAGCGCGACCAACAGCAGCGCTGACGGCAGCATCGTGGGCATGCGACGCGGCAGTGAGTGCTTTCGGCTTCGAATCACTCGGCCGTCCCCGCCGGGATAAGTCTGGAGCGATCGCGGACGCGTCTTCGTGAGCGGAAGGACACGGGTGGACTTGATAGGACGCGGCGTGACAGAATGCGGAGGGAATCGCCGTGGAACACGGAACGGGTCCTCCCAAATGCGACAGCCCGGCCGGCCGGGCCGGCACAGGCAGGCAGGGGCGCACGTGATCGTGAATGAAAGAATGATGAATGTGCCTCTTGCGAACATACCCCGATACCCAAAGGCGGACCGTACTCGAGTACTCGAGTAGAGAGTAAAGAGGAGGAGGTGTCAGTAGATCTATCTATTGGGCGGTGTGAGACGCCAGAAAGAGAGAAAATCGAGCAGCTGGAGGGACGCCAAACGAGAGGGAGTTGGTGGTAAATACTACCACTGGTGGGCCGGGACTGACTGGCCAAAAAGAAAGAAACGAAGCCTCAACCCAGTCGATGGATGGGAGGAGGACAGGGTCCCCACCTGCCGAGTTCGGGATGTACTACAAGTCCCCCGAGATTGCGTCCCCCGAGATTGCGCCGCTGGCGCAGCCGGCCAACCCGCTCGAGGCGACCACCGGCGAGGCGACCACCGGAGCGGTGGCACCCACCGGAGGGGCACCCGCCGGCACGGCGATGCCGATGGAGGACCTCGCCGCTGCGGTGGCCCGCGGGGCGGTCGGCGCGGCGGCCATGCCCGGCGACCGGCGCGGGTGCCGCGCCCGCCGCTCGCCAGGCGATTGCCAACTTCGCCGCCGCGCTCTAGACGAGCACCGGCCGGTGCTGGCGTGGAAGACGGCGGCCATCCGCGCGTATCTAGTGTGCGTGTCGGTGTCTGCAGCCTCCTTCCTGGAGCCTAGCAGTAAGGCGGCCGGCGGTGGGGCGAGGGGGTGGGTGTGGGGGGGTATGGTCCCGTCGGCGGGAGGCTGGGTCTGTCAGCAGGTGGGGGGGTATGGTCTCGAGGTGGTCGGACCATACCACACCCCGCAAATAGTCCGAACCCGTCTCGCACATTCAGATACATACACACATACATGCTTGCCAACCTATCGCACACATCCGCGTCCTTCGACCTAGTCGCCAGCGCAGTCGAGTGCCTGAGCAACGACACCCTCCTCGGGAATGTCTTGACGCCGGCCGGCTGTGCCCGGCGGTGCAAGTCGACCCCGGGATGCGAGTTCTTTGTGAGCGGGTTCGGTGACAAGGCAGGGCGGTGCTACCAGGAGTATACGGCGAACGAGACGTGCATCGAGGGCTGGGAAGTTGACCTGTACGACTTTTACAAGCTCAACGACTCGCCGGCAGACACGCCTGTCGACGGCGGATCCACGCTTCTTCCCAGCCCTGAGCTCGACACGCATGTTTCATACGACCAGTGGACTTACGCGTCGACGGACGCGTCTTTCCATCGCATCAAGGCGGGCTACGAGTGCGACGACGGCGCAAACACAAAGCTCCGCGACGTGGACACGCCGCAGGAGTGTGCCGACAGCTGCGCCAATTACGGCAACTGCACCTTCTTTCTGTACGGTTTCAACACTAAGCGGAAGCAGTGCTGGGTGGAGTGGACGCACTCTGCCGACTGCCCCGAGGGGTGGGAGAAGGACGACTTCGACTTCTACATGCTGCTGCCCGCGGTCCCGCGCGCGCCGCCGTCGTCCCCCTCGCCACCCGCCCCGCCGCCCGCCCCGCCGCCGATGCCACCGCCCGTGTACCCCTCCATGGAGCACAGCACGGGCTTCATCGCCGGCATGCTCGCGGGGTCCGGCTTCATGATGGCCGTCACCCTGCTCCTCATGATCCCGCTGCTCACCATCCTAGCCAAGCTTCTCCGGAGTCGGCAGCAGAAGCAGCCGCGTCCCTGCCCGCCCCCGGCCCATGTGAAGCTCGTTCCGCCTGCACGACGCTATGCACACGTCCCATAGGCTCCTCAACGAAGCGACCTCCGACTCCGTCGACCCGGAGGACATAGCGCCAGCGCACGAAATGGCGCAAATGTAGAAAAAAATGCTGACTGAGTCGCCGACCGACCCGGGGCGATGCGTACGGCTGTACTTGTATCTCCCACCCGTACTAGTGAGAGAGTACGTACTCGTGTGCATGACCGTGTCCCCAGAGAAAATGCCGACGAGGTGTCCGTCCGTACTCGGGTCTCGTCATCGCGTGATGGCTTTCGTCGGGGATACGGGAACGAAAAACGGCGACGCGCGCGTCCCTTGTTGCGCCGGCGACCTGCGCGCAGGGCGATGCCTCTGATGGACACAGAGAGGGAGGCACTCATGCACGCCTGCCTCGCAGCTCGCATCAAGGCGCGGAGGAAACGCGACTACGCGCGAGCGGACGAGCTTCGCAATGAGCTTCGCGGCCTTGGCGTTCTGGTTGACGACAAGGTGGGCTACCCTCTCCCCACTCGCCATTCTCGCCACACAGCAAGGAGTAGCATCTGGAGCGCACGCGTCGGCGTGATTCGTACGCGAGCCCCTAAAACCGTCGCCCCAATCCCCTCTCTCAGGCGAAAACCTACATGGTCAAGCGAAAGTCATCCACCAGTGAGGCGGCACCCAGTGCCGAGTTGGCAGCGCTGATGGCCAGCGGCAGCGCCGCTTTGGCGTCGGAGCATGGCTACAGCTGTGTCGAGAGTGCAGACTTCCGGCCCGATCGCCAGAGCAACAGCAGCCGGTCCGCGCCTGCCACCTACCCCGTTGCCCTTTACTCAGCCAACGCGTACGCAAGTATGGTGCAACAGGCGGAGCAGCGGGAGCTCGGGCCGTTCCTCGTCGGGGCGCAGCAGCGCGACGCCGGCCGAGGCCTCCACTCCCGCGGAGCCGGACGTGTACGTCGCTGCAAGCAGCGGCAAGGTCGACGCGGTCGTCGCTGCGCTAAAGGCCAATCCGGCACTGCTCAATGCGAAGAAGACGGGCGGCATCTTCGACTCGCGCACGCTGCTCCACTGCCGCCACGCGTAGATTTATCCACGCCCTGAACTCATTAGAGAAAGAGGGGGAGAGAGAGGGGGGAGGGGGAGGGAGGGAGGGAGGGAGGGAGGGAGAGAGGGAGGGAGGGAGGGAGGGAGGGAGGGAGGGAGGGAGGGAGGGAGGGAGGGAGGATGGGAGGGGGAGAGAGGGTGTATTTGGCAAATACACCATGCAACCACAGCTAGCCTCGAAGGTGCTCCGGTGTGGCGCCGCGGAAACACTTGCGCTCTCCGCAGGTGCTGCCAGCAAGGGCCACGCTGCGCTCGTCACCGAGCTGCTGCGTCTCGGCGCCGATCGCAGCATCGCCGATAGCCGGGGTGCCACGCCCCTCGCCCTCGCTCAGAAGGCTGGCCACATTGCTGCTGTCGAGCTGCTGAATCAGCCAACGGCGGCCCCGCCAGCTGCGCCGCCCGCCGCCGCCGCAGCGCCGGCCCCAGCTACTCCGCCGGCAGCAAAGCCAGGTGGTGCGTGGGGTGCGGGGCCTCCCGGCGGGGCGGCAGCGGTCGCATCGACGCGCATCAACAAGGCAGAGGCGGTCTTTGGCGGGCAGCCCCCCCCGTGGCAAAAGCCGCGCACCACACCGCCAGTTGGGCGCGAAGCGACCCTCACGCGTTTGCGCTGCCCTCTCGGGGCAGCATGCGGGCACGAGGCAGAGACCTTCGACGCACGGGGTCTCTTCGAGCACTTCCAGCTCTGCCATCTCGCGCGGGTTAGCCCACCCGAGGCGCCAAAGGCGGTTCAGGACTTCCGCGGCTCCAAGGGAGAAACTGAGCAGCTGCCAACGACCGAGCCGTCTGCAGAGGAGCTCGCCGACATTCAACTCGCTTGCGCCAAGCTGTGCGCGCCGGGCTGACCGTCTAGCCGGCGATGGACCATCCGAGCGACGATGAGAGCGCCCTCTCCTATAGGTGGGACTTGGACCACAACCGCCTCAAGCCGGGTAAGGACTATGTGCTCAACGTTGGCGGAGGCAAGACCATCTGGGAGCGGGGGGACGCCGCTGAGGAGCGCCTCTTTGAACGGGTCGAGGAGGAGGTCTTCAGCCGCGATACCTACCGGGCCTTCATGCAGCTCCTCGATAACTACGACCGCAGGCGCAGCGCAGCGGCCATGCCCTGCAGCCCTCCCCGCCTACCCCCCCCCCCCCCCTCTCACCCGGCCGCCCTTACCCGGTTGGTTGCCCGCGCACACACCCCTCACTGCCTCCTCGCGCCTCCTCCCGCAGCACGAGCGTGGAGGACCGGCTGACCCCGCACGAGGTTGAGGAGAGCTACGCCTTTCTGAACGAATGCCTGGAGGAGCCTGTGGGGCAATACCTCTGGAAGTACCTGCAGGCTAAGCAAAAGGCGCCAAAGTCGAGCCGTGCCTTTGCACAGCAAATCTTCAAGGTGTGGTTCAAGTCGTTCGGGCGCGGCGAGGCCAAGGGGGCGAGCAGCGGTTTCGAGCACGTCTTCCTGGGCGAGGAGGACACGACGCCCGATGGCCGGATCACCATAGCCGGCTTCCACAACTGGATCCAGTTCTACTTTGAGGAGCGCTGCAATCACCTGGACTACCGTGGCTACATCCTGCCCAAGCGGCGCGGCCGGCGCCCCGACGAGCCGCCCGACGGCACCGAGCACTTCCTCTCGGTGCAGTTCGAGTGGGAGGGCGAGACCAAGCCCGTCTCCGGCATGTTCGTCGGCGTCTCGCCCGAGTTCGAGCTAGCGCTCTACACGCTGCTCTACTACGAGGGGGGAGACAACAACAAGCTCCACCTCGGCGACGTCGACGTCAACCTCCGGGTCTACCGGCTGGACCGCATCGGGTGCATCTCCTCCGCCTTCCCCGAGGCGGCGGACAGCCTCGACGCATGAGGACAGTGCGAGCGGGGGGGCTGGAATCACGAAGGGGCGGCCTGAGCCTCCGCCGTTACCTCTTGCGCGCCACCGACGGCCACGGCGCACGGGCCCATAACGATGTATTGGTGCGAGTCGTGGATGTGGTTTATTGTAGGGTGTGCGCGCTTGACGGAGTGCGACCATAAAAGCTCTAGTAGCGCACGCTCCGCAGACAGACGCACAATCAACAGAGAGGGGGCAAGGACGAAACAGACCATCGAAGCAAAACATCGTGTGTTCGTGTGTACTGGGCGGGCCGGGCGGCCCATGCGCCGCCTCGTGGGCGCCACGCAGCCGACGATCGCGAGGGTAAATGCACTCTGCAGGGGCGGAGCGCCGCGGTGCAACTCCTCGCCCGCGTCGGCTGGCGCGGCGCAATAATGGAAGAGGCCAAGCTCAATCACACGATCGGAAGAGGCCAAATTGTTCATGGAGCCGTGAGGGCGGGAAGTGCGCGCGCCAAAGGCAGCGCGCCGCGGGCCGCGCCGGTCGGCGGCGTCACGAAACCGCGCGACTGCAGCGGGTGCTGCGTGAGCGCCTCACCCAACGCCGCTTTGAACTGGCGGAAAGCGGCGTGGTACGAGAATGTGTCGCCCGAGAGGCGCGTGCACGAGATGGAGTAGTGCCCGTCCGCCTCCTCGGAGACGAGCACTCGCATCGCCACGTCGCCACTGCGCGCGGAGACGACGACGCTCTCGCCACTCGCAAGCCTAGTGAAGAGGAGGCCCCGTCGGACGGCGGGGGGAATGGGCGGTTGCGCGGCACGCGGCGGCGCGCGCCGCTCTGCGAGCTCGTACTGCGCGTCGATCCGGGACAAGGCGTCGCCCACGCGGTCAGCGAGGTGCTCCGGCTCGAGCACAAGCTTATTCCAGCCGAGCCGCCGCATCATCGGCTGCGCCGGTGGCGGCTCAGGCGCCGGCTGCAGGGGGTGCTCGCCGTCCGCCTCGTAGATTGCGGGCTTGGCGAGCGAGAGCGAGGTGAGGGGCGCATCGAGGCGGCGCCCGCGGCGGTAGTGCAGCGCCGCGCGGCAGAACTGCGACGGTGTGAGCGACACCATCTGGCCTGTGCGGCGTGCAGGGAACCCGCGGGGTGAGGGCGCTTGGGCGTGGGGCGCCTGGCACAGGGCGCAGGGGCCAGGGGGGGAAAGAGAGGTGTGTGGATGCGCGCGTGCGGAAAGGGAGAAGGCCGCGCGGGGGGGGGGGGGGGG